AAAGGGTTCTTGTAGCTTTATAAAACTACGACTGAACCACTGATGACACATTTTGAAGATCCTCTTGGTAATATTCTCTGCTTTGAAGGTTTTATAAACAGACAGTAGCTGTTTATGGAAACTCAAAACACTCTTGGATTTCATCAGAAATATTTTTGTGTTGGAAAGATGAGCTGTCCGTCCATCCGTCCATCCATCCATCCATCCATCCATCCATCCATCCATCCATCCATCCATTCATCCATCCATTCATCCATCCATCCATCCATCCATCCATCCATCCATCCATCCATCTATCATTCTATCTATCTATCTATCTATCTATCTATCTATCTATCTATCTATCTATCTATCTATCTATCTATCTGTCTGTCTGTCTGTCTGTCTGTCTGTCTGTCTGTCTGTCTGTCTGTCTGTCTGTCTGTCTATCTATTTGTCTGTCTATTGTTTTATCTATTTATCTGTCTTTCCGTCTACCTATTGTTCTTTCATTATTTCCATCCATCTATGCATCCATCGTTCTATCTGTCGTTCTATCTGTCGTTCTTTCTATCGTTCTTTCTATCCATCCATCCATCCATCCATCCACTGTTATATCCATCTATCGTTCATTCTTTCATTCTATCTAATGTTCTTTCTTCTCTCTATCTGCCTGTCTGTCGTTTTATCTATCTATCTATCTATCTATCTATCTATCTATCTATCTATCTATCTATCTATCTATCCATCTATCCATCCATCCATCCATCCATCCATCCATCCATCCATCCATCCATCCATCCATCCATCCATCCAATTTAATAGCTCTATCTTTCTTTCCATCTATATCTGTCTATCGTTCTTTCTTCTTTCATTTCTTCTTTCTAACTGTCTATCTATACCTATTGATTGTTCTTTCTTTCTATTAACTGTTCTTTCTACTTTCTGTTGTCTGTTTGTCTATCTATTTATCTATCTATTCTTTAGCCTGACATTCTAAATATAACATCAAAGTTTCTTTATTTTTTTGTTTGATAGCATGTCATATGCTTTAACTTTAACAATGTCCTGATTTTTCTCAGGGTGTCAAGACATCGCAGAATCGTTCCGAGCCCAAGAGATCGACGGGCAGGCCTTGCTTCTGCTGACTGAAGACCATTTGATGAGTGCCATGAATGTCAAACTCGGCCCGGCTCTCAAAATATGCGCCCGCATCAACTCCCTGAGGGAAGGCGGAAGATAAAGAGAAAAGAAACAGAGACACAAACGAAGCTAGGTATACCCTTGTGGACCATAAGAGCACTTGCCAATAGAATAGAGCCATTTTGTGCACTTTAATCTTCAGAGATTTATGCGATAATTTCATTGTTATGAGAAAGCTTACATGTATTCGCTCGAACTAAACTAGCAAAACCTTAAAAGTTCTTGTAAAGTTAGCCTCTGTCTGAAAGCATGGTAGCAATATAATGGTCTCAGTCTGTGAGCGTTTTACAGGATGTGTATTTAGTAGGAAGGAACTGTTAGCGTCTCTTTTTTGTTTTGTATGGGTAATCTCGATCAGGGTCAATGATTTTATATTTTTGACTAAGAGCAAAGGAGATCACTTCCTGTGTCATTGCGGAGAGGTTCGACAAGAACGGAAGTGCTGTTATTGTGTGCATGTCCCATTGTATATATTTTCCTATCGTATTCCATATGTATACATGTATAACAATGCAGTGTTCTGTGTGTATAAATTACAACAACAACAACAAAAAAAAAACGTTTTGTGAAGGATTTGTAATATTTAATATATTTGTCTTCTAAGGCTATAGAAAGTACAAATGCGAATCATTTCGAGTTTATAAACATTTTTAAATATGACGTTTGAGATACTGACATCAATGACATTTTGTAAAAATCTCCGCAGTGGTACTGTGTAAATCAGACAAGCTGTCAAAGACTCAAGACGAGAAGAAGGTACCCGAAGGCAATCGTTTTCAATCAAAGCAGTGAAAAGGTGCCTTTTCTATGAGACCTTAAGAAACTACTGTAGGCATTTTGCTGAGGCAAACTATGTACTAGATTGTGTCATCAAGTGTTGTTTCTCATTGTTACATTATCTTTCTTGTGCCACTTTTGATTATTTAATTAAACCAACTACATTTTGTTACGAAACCTTTATTGGCATTCATTTATTGTACCACTATTTTCTTTTTTGGAGGTGTTTTACAGGTAAGTTGTGGTTTACCATGGTATATTATTTATACACTCACAGGCCACTTTATTAGGTACACCTGTCCAACTTCTCGTTAATGCAAATTTCTAATCAGCCAATCACATGGCAGCATCTCAATGCATTTGGGCATGTAGACATGGTCAACACGATCTGCTGCAGTTCAAACCGAGTATCAGAATGGAGAAGAAAGGTGATTTAAGTGACTTGAACGTGGCATGGTTGTTCATGTCAGACAAGCTGGTCTGAGTATTTCAGAAACTGCTGATCTACAGAGATTTTCACACACAACCATCTCTAGAGTTTACAGAGAAAGGTCTGAAAAGGAGAAAATATCCAGTGAGCGACAGTTCTGTGGGCGCAAATGCCTTGTTGATGCCAGAGGTCAGAGGAGAATGGCCAGACTGTTTGAGCTGATAGAAAGGCAACAGTGACTCAAATAACCACTCGTTACAACCGAGTTCTGCAGAAGAGCATTTTCTGAATGCACAACACGTCCAACTTTGAGGCGCATGGGCTACAGCAGCAGAAGACCACACCAGGTGCCACTCCTGTCAGCTAAGAACAGGAAACAGGCAACAATTCGCTCAGGCTCAAAAATTGGGCAATAAAATATTGGAAAATCGTTGCCTGGTCTGATGAGTCTCGATTTCTGTTGTGAAATTCGGATGGTAGGGTTAGAATTTGGTGTCAACAACATGATAGCATTGATCCATCCTGTCTTGTATCAACAGGTAAGAGTGGTGGTGTAATGGAGTAGGGGAGATTGTCTTGGCACACTTTGGGCCCATTAGTACCAATTGAGCATCGTGTCAAGGCCACAGCCTACCTGAGCATTGTTGTTGACCATGTCCATCCCTTTATGACCACAGTGTACCCATCTTCTGATGGCTACTTTCAGCAGGATAACTAGCCATGTCATAAAGCGCGAATCATCTCAGACTGGTTTCTTGAACATGAAAATAAGTTCACTGTATTCAGATGGCCTAAACAGTCACCAGAGCTTAAGCTCTGAGGCACTAGTAAAGTGTACCTAATAAAGTGGCCAGTGAGTGTAATCTATTATAAAAAAATTTGGGCCATAAAAATATAAATTCTATATTCCATAATGAATCATTTGATTTATTAATGGTGAAAATTTATATTTTTTATTACAGTTGTTGCAAAAGAACTAAGATAAACCTTAAGATTGCATCGTAGATGTTAAAACTGTATGTTAGAAAGACTTTTATTTTGAGTTCGGAAGAAATGTCACGAGTTGTTTACACAACAAAACTAAAATTTCGTTTTACTCAAACACGATATTTTTTTTTAAAAAAATCCATGTTAGACAACACAATATAATTGTTTTTACTTCATATTAAATTTGGTGGATTAATCCTTTAAAAATTGCTACAAATAAAAACATTTTTCATTTTCTGGAGGAAAATAATTAAAGATTGGATGAAATATTATCACACTTATAAAAGCAAATTGTCTGTATATCAAAAATATGAATTGGAAATCATAATATAATATAATCCACTAGATGGCATTCAAAGACAAAAGGCTAATTTCTTACCTCCTCAGAAAGTGTGGGCCGACCAACAGTCCTGCTGAAACGTTATCACGATTACAGAGAGAGAGAGAGAGAGAAAATAATAAAAAAGAATCAGACTTATTAATGTTGTAATAAATCAAAGGATGTTATACTCCCGACTTTGAGGGCAGTGTTGCCAAATGTAGCTGACTGATTCCAGCCCAAAAACTATCCAAAACCCGCCGAATTACAAAAACAACCGCCCAGATTTTTAAAAAAAAATTTTATTGAACATAATGTACAACAATTTGGCATTATCAGTACACCTTTACATTACAAGAAAAGGAAACAGGTGCAAATAAAGAACAAATAATATGTTACATGAAAAAAAAGTTAAATAATATACATAACTAAATCTTTAAAAAATTATATTAAATAAATAAAAAAGGTTAGGGGTTTTCCTGTCATTTATATTTGTCTATAAAAGATAGAAGATTAATTGTACATTTTGTTTTCATTATCTTAACGGATTTTATAAATGAAACAATCTCATTATAAAAAGCACAAAACGGTGTCACCTTAAAATATTTTGATTATGTATGCAAAATTTTCCAAGCATAAGGATGTTGTTGATTGGTGAACAAAAGCATGTAATAAGTGGGGCGCGCCGTTGCAAAACCGCCCAAATATTCTCTACCCGCCCCTGTAATTTTACCCCCTCAATCAAATGCTAAACCGCCCAATCTGGCAACACTGGGGAAGGCCTCGGTGTTGCCAGATATAGCTGACTTTTTCCAGACAAAAGCTGTCCAAAACCCGCCATAAAATATTCGATAAATATTTTATTTAATTGATAATTAAATAAAATCAACCTAGTAACACTAACTATCATAACTATTAACCATACAGCAAGGAAAACCATCAGTCTCATAGAAGCACAACATAACAGGATAACATCGAAGCATTGCCCCTCTCACCCACACACTGCACTTAATGTTGCGTAGATTAGAGTATGTTTTACTTTCGAAATAGGCTGTAAATTCGCCCTATTTGGCGTTTTAACTTCTTTTGAGCACGATTGACTGCTGTTTGCTAAGCACACAACGCTTCTATGTTTGTTCTTGCGAGGGGAAAATGATTGATAAGTGTTATGAAAAACCACTGAGTTTGCCCAATCTGGCAACACTGGAAGACATTTGTGACGTTTCAATCTAGGTTTTCTTCTGATTGGCTGAAAGTTCTTTTGGGCTTGTCCACAATAAAAAAACAAATTTACCAAATGGAATGTTTTTACAGTCCTCACTCCAACCGTTAGTTCAGCCAACAAATCTCACTCAGAATGCGTTTTATTTAAGTCAGAGATCCTAGCACAAGTTTTTGGCCTTGAGGAGCAAATAATAATACGCTTTCAGTCAGAATGTCTAATAGCTGTCGTCTGCTTTGTGGTTTTTTGATGAGTTTTGTCGGCTGGATTGGGATAATAATCGCGACCTCCACAAATGATTGGGTGCTGTCCTGTACATACGGATCGCACAGCTGCAGGAATATGGACGACCTGGAGACCAAAGGCTTGTGGACGGAGTGTGTCATCTCTACTGCTCTCTATCACTGCATCCCTCTCAACCAGGTCCGCAGAATACCAGGTGATAAATGCATTTATTATCATTGTATGCATGCCTTTTGTCTTTTGATCCTTTTGGGGGGAAAACAGTAACGTAGAAACTGTCAGAGAGAGGTTTTAATGGTTACATTTTAAAACAAATTAAAAGCAGTGCCAAACATCTACTGTTAACTTTTTTTTTGTTTATTTATTGTTAACATTTTTTGGTTAGCAGGGGTGCATGGTGAAAAGTGAAGCATGAATACTTATGAATACTTACTATGAATAATACTACTATAAACTTACTATGAATACTTTCCAGATACAATGTGTGTATATATATATATATATATATATATATATGTGTGTGTGTGTGTGTGTGTGTGTGTGTGTGTGTGTGTGTGTGTGTGTGTGTGTGTGTAAGTTTATAGTAGTATTATTCATAGTAAGTATTCATAAGTATTCATGCTTCACTTTTTCCACATTTTATTATGTTTACAGCCTTATTCCAAAATGGATTAAATTGATTTATCTCCTCAAAATTCTACACACAATACCCCATAACGACAATGTGAAAAATTTTTTTTTATAAATTGTTGCAAATTTATTTAAAAAAAAAAACAAAAACTGAAAAATCACATGTACATCAGTATTCACAGCCTTTGCTAAATACTTTGTTGATGCACCTTTGGCAGCAATTACAGCCTCAAGTCTTTCTGAATATGTTGCCACAAGCTTGGCACGACTGTTTATGGGAATTTTGCCCATTCCTCTTTGCAGTACCTCTCAAGCTCTATCAGTTTGGATGGGTAGCAATGGTGTTCAGCCATTTTCAGATCTCTCCAGAGACGTTCAATAGGATTTAGGTCTGGGCTCTGGCTGGGCCACTCAAGGACATTCACCGAGTTGTTGTGAAGCCACTCCATTTTGGTGGTGTGCTTTGGGTCATTGTCCCGTTGAGAGATGAACCGTCGCCCCAGTCTGAGGTCAAGAGCACTCTGACGCAGGTTTTCATTTAGGATGTCTCTGTACATTGCTGCATTCGTCTTTCCCTCTATCCTGACTAGTCTTCTAGTTCCTGCTGCTGAAAAACATCCCATGGCAAGACATGGATGGTATTAGCTTAATGTTAAACGCCTGACATTCACTCCAAAGGGTTTTAATTTTAGTCTCATCAGACCAGAGAATTTAGTTTCTTATGATCTGAGAGTCCTAAAGATGCCTTTTGGCAAATTCCGTCTGGCCACTCTACCATACAGGCCTGATTGGTGGATTGCTGCACAGATGGTTGTCCTTCTGTAAGGTTCTCCTCTCTCCACAGAAGAAAGCTGGAGCTCAGACAGAGCTGAACTGAATTTCCCACAGGTGAACTCCAAATAAGCTGCTGAAACATCTCAAGAGTGATCAGTGGAAACAGAATTTACCTGAGCTCAATTTAGAGCTACACGGCAAAGGCTGTGAATACTGATGTACATGTGATTTTTTTAAAAAATATTTTTTTAGCTTTTTTATTTTTAATAAATTTGCAACAATTTCAAAAATCTTTTTCACATTGTCATTATGGGGTATTGTGTGTAGAATGTTGAGCAATTAAATTAATTTAATCCATTTCGGAATAAGGCTGTAACATAAAAAAATGTGAAAAAAGTAAAGCGCTATGAATACTTTCTGTTCCAAATTAATTTTTTAATATTTCCTTTTTTTATGATTTGTAATATAACTTCTTAACATAATAGTTTTAATAACTAATTCCTAATAACTGATTTCTTTTTATCTTTGCCATGATGACCATACATAATATCTTACTAGATATTTTAATTATTAGCCCCTATATTTTTTCATTTGTCTAAGAACAAACTACAATGACTTGCCTAATTACCTTATTCTGCCTAGTTAACCTAATTGACCTAGTTAAGCCTTTAAATGTCACTTTAACTGTACAGAATTGTCTTAAAAAATATCTAGTCAAATATTATTTACTGTCATCGTGCCAAAGATAAAATAAATCAGTTATTAGAAATAAGTTATTAAAACTATTATGTTTAGAAATGTGTTAAAAATCTCTCTGTTAAACAGAAATTGGGGGAAAAATAAACAAGAAGGCTCATAATTCAGGGGGGCTAATAAATCTGACAAGTGTGTGTGTGTGTGTGTGTGTGTTTGTGTGTGTGTGTGTGTGTGTGTGTGTGTGTGTGTGTGTGTGTGTGTGTGTGTGTGTGTATTAGTGAATATTTAAACATTTATATATATTTTTTTTCTGGAATTGATTGAAGTTGTCTTTTGCATGTGTTTATTGTGTTTTAAGCTTACATCCAGGCATGTCGTGTTCTGATGGTGTCTGCCTCTCTGCTCGGTCTGCCTGCTCTGGCTCTCTTGCTGCTGGCGATGCCCTGTGTCAAAGTCAGCCAGGAGACTGAAGGCACCAAACACAGACGCGCAGTTCAGGGAGGACTAATAATACTCGTCATATGTGAGTCATATTAATAATCTCTGGAGTCTGAAGAGTCTCAAAGGCATAGTTCACACAGAAATTAAAAGTAAATGTTTATTTATTTAGGACAATCAAGATGATAGGCTACTCTTTTTATGTTTCAGTTGAACATTTAAGGCAAATATGAAATTGGGGTCTTTAGTGATTTATTTAAAACAAGGTGAATTTTGAGAGTCAAGTAAACATACAGGCAAAACAAAATCATTATCCCTGATGGTGTCTTATAAAGCTAAATGATCAATCTGTGCAAGAAAATGATTTACATTTGCACATTTTTCTCTTCTGTAAACTGATTTACCTGACTTGCAAGTTTATCATTTATTGTTGTAAAATTAGTTCTATTATGGAGGCCTGAGAAAGCCAACACACTGTTATAGCACATAAACTTCTTCTTCTTCTTCCGAGACTAACTTTTATATGCATCTCCTCCTAGACCGTTCATACTACAACCACCAATCTAACATCAAACCTCCAAACTGCTCTGACTCGGCTTGCTTTTCTTTTCCAACTGATCTGACTTACAGTTACCTGAAAACCGAGAAAATGAAAATCTTTACTGAAAATTCGGAAAAGTTCCATTGACTTAACATTGGGCCAAACTTTGTGACCTTATAAATTTACGCCAGACTGTCATACAGACTTGGGGCTCTATTTTGACGATCCATGCTCAAGTGCAAAGCGCAGGGCGCGAAAGCATTAAGAGCGTGTCGGAATCCACCTTTACTATTTTAAGGTTAGTAAAATCCGCTTTGTGCCGTGGCGCATGGTCTAAAAGGGTTCAGCTTATTCTCTTAATTAGTCATAGGTGTGTTTTCAGAATAAACCAATCAGAAGCTGCGTCCCAAATCGCATACTTATGCACTATTCTACGACATTTTGTAGAATAAATAGTGCAAGTAGTGTGTTCACACTAAAACTCTAAAAATAATAAGTGCACTTTAATTACCCGGATGATGCACTTATTCAACCGCTAAAATGAAGTGTGTAATGATGGACACTTCACCCACTCAACGACCGCAGGTTTGCTCAAGTAGCGGAAGGGGCGGAGCTATCGGACCACATGTTGAATAATTTTATTTATTTTGGATGGTGAAAGCAAAATTCTCCTACGAGAGTGATTATAGCGCCTCCCGATGGTGAATGCGGCAATATTCACGGCAGGTAACATTTGATAAATCGGTCGTTTATTTCACTGATTTGGCAACCGTCAAACGTCATCAGCGAAACGGTTTGAATTTCCGCTTAGTAAAAAAACATTAGTGTGCCATTTGGGACGCCACTACATACATATACTATCCTGTTGAGTGTGTAAGTGTATAAGTATTTGCTATTTACAACACGGACCGTTGATGAAGATTTTTATTTACTAAACCTATATGAAGACGCATTTAATTGGGTGAGTGGAGGGCTCTATGAATCTATGTCTTTGAAAACAGGCGACAAGGTATGGCAAAGGGGTCATAAAAGAGCACGAGAGAGGACTTGGGGATACAATGAGAACCATCTGTGTCAGAAAAGCCTGAAATGTATACAACATATGTTGAAACTGTCATGTATATTTAAAAAGACACATACTGTATAGAAGAAAAGTGTCCAGTTTAGATGTTTGAAACATAGATACTAGTCATGATTACCAAATGTGAACTATATGTGTAAAAACAGTAATGAAAACATTAGATCCTTTCATTATGAGGGCCAACAAAAAGACGGGGCTTTAAATTGGGGTCATAAAGGAGTAGGAGCTGGGAGAGCCCTGTTGAACCAGTAAACAGCTGTGAAAACACAAAGGTGGGAGGAAGCAAAGATAGTAAATATTATAGTATTTTCTTACAATCAGCTAGCATGCTGTTGACCTCGGACCCTGGTGACATGCTGTACTAATGATAGCATTTCCAGCAAAACGTCTATTGGGGTGTTATTCATGAGCCTGAAGTAAAGTCATTTATTAAAGTGTTGAAAAAAACAGCAGCTCTAAGCAAAATGCTAGATGTTGTGGTCTGATGTTCATATCCTCCCTGAAGTCATGCTTTCAACATACAGGCCTGAAACTGTCCTTGACTGAAGTAACTGTCAAACAGATTTCCTACATCCTGTTACAGTGGGAAGAGTCAGTCATGGTCAGCTGTCCGGCCCATTCTCACAGGTGTTTTGGGGATGATTTGTAGTTCTTTAATGCATAAAACTTTCCAATCTTCCAATCATTTCACACTAAAGTTGACTTTTGGTACTAATTGGTAAATATACATTGCTTTAAAAAGTTAACACAACAGTATCAAGTGTTGATGTGGACATTAATCTAGTTATTTGGGCAGGGTATGGATTTAGAATCAACTGTCATGTGCGCGCCGTCACACCATCTCTAAATGTTTAATTCTAAACAGCTTTGAGGGATACGGATGTCAGCGATGTCAGGCATTTGTTATTGTAGCTTAAAGAATTCAAAGCGCGCAGTACAGCGCATGCGGCGAGCGACTACTTTCATCAACATGCATGATCGCATTCATCTAATTTGTATCAACTCTACAGTATGGCTATATTTTACAAGCAAGGATTCTGACACACCATCATGCAGCAGATGGTTTACAAAACCGTTTTGGCACCTGTACCATTTTAAAAATATCGATTTAGCACCGTTATCGAAAAAACCCCAAACGATACCCAACCCTACTGGGCATTAGAAAAATCAGTCCTGTGATTCCTGTCCAACCAAATCGCATATAGAAAGTAAATCGCATCATAATGAACTTCCTCAAGGCTCGGGTGATTTTTATAGTTGCAGCAAACGGTTTAGAAGCATTAAAAGTGTCCAAGAAGATGTCCAATATCTTTACATGCATTGACCCAGAGACTGTTTAGATGCATGTCACTGGTGAAAAGATGACACATGTTTACTGTATGAAGACCGAAAAAGCCTTAAACACCCAACCGGCACAAGACATCAACATGACAGATTGACATTGTACCCTAATGTTATGGGGACGTTGAATTTTGTTTGGTAATGAAAATTGTGTTAATATCAGAATTCAACGTCAGAGTAACATCAATGCCCAACGTGTGCAACCTAAAATCAATCAAATATCAACATCTAATGATGTTACAGCTGGACATCGTGGGGACTTACCACTATGACGTCTATCAGACATTAGATTTTGGTTGCCAAACCTGATGAATAAATGTCGGTATTTGACATCAAATGATGTTGGTTTAAGATGTTGGCTCGACATTGGATTTTGGTCACTTTCTCTCTCACAACCTAAAATCAACCAAATATCAATGTCATTTGATGTCGTTATTGAACATCAAATTAACATTGTGCTTAGACACTAGATCACAACCTAAATCTAACCTAATATTAATGTCTTATGATGATGTGTGCATGCTGGGCAATAACTAAATGCACTACAGAATGTTACGTTTACAAACACAACACCAAATTACATGTAAAAGCATCAGCTTTTTACAGCGTGATAATCACTACTCTTGAATACTTTTAAATGGGCTCCTTTTTGCTCATACTACTAAACAGATACTTTACCTCTTCTTGCACTACATTTTTACGCAAGTAATGATACTTTCACTTGAGTATGATTTGTCAGTACTCTTTCCACCACTGCTTGTATGTGATAATAAGGAGCTTTACTGCTGTTTACAGCTCTGTGTGGGATGGTGTCGACGGTTTGGTTCCCCATCGGAAAGCTGGACGGCCTGATGTCTTTTGGATTCTCTCTGTATGCTGGCTGGGTGGGTTCAGCGCTCTGCTTTTTTGCCGGCTCTGTGATGGTTTGTTGCTCAAAAGATCACAGCCCAAGCGAGAATCCTGAATCCCGCCACTACTACTCAAACCCAGATGGAGTTACCAGCACCGGCCCAAGCGAGAATCCTGAAACCCGCTACTACTACTCAAACCACGATGGAGTTACCAGCTCCGGCACAAGCGAGAATCAAGAAACCCGTTTCTACTACTCAAACCACGATGGAGTTACCAGCTATGGCCCTGCTAAAAACAGCCATGCCAAGAGCGAACATGTGTGAGAGACTCACTGGAGAAAAAACAAAACTCAGCTCTTTACCTCAAGATTTGAACACTCAAACTCACACAGACACATAACAAAGAAGTATGTGGAGAATTAATTTTCTCCCGCCATGGATTGACTGCACACATCTGAAGATTTTGGAGGGAACACACTTGGCAGAGGTTTGGAGTTTAAAGGGCCATGACACCCCCCACTTTCGGTTAAAGTCTACTTCAGAATATTTTCAAAAGATGCATGATTAATGGGCGTGGAGCTCCGCAAGCATAAGGCAGGAGTGGGCGTGGCCAGCAGGGGAGAAGGGGAGCGAACAACTGTTGATGTCAGTTAGCTCACAAAATGAGACAAACCGTGAAGAGACGCATGAGTTTATAGTTTACAAAGTTAAAATGCAAAGAAATAAACAGTAATTTAATGCCCTGCTACATTTGTTATTCGTAATTTCATATACAGACAACCACAATTTATATAATTATAAAGATAATCGTGTTCATATAAACACTATAAATGAGGACTTCTCCCTCAATCCCCGGAACTCCTGATACAAGACAACATCCGCCATTCTCCAATTCTCGTGCTGCTCTCCCGACAAAAATGCTAGCAGCACACACACAGCTTTGCTGTATGATCGGCCCTGACAGGATCGCGGGGAAAATCATGCAACAAACCCCGTGGATCATGGAAACAGACACATACGAGCCTTTATAAACGGCTACTGCGTGCCCGTGGGTCCGTGTCTCACAGCTTGAGCTTGGCACTGGTCTGGCAGGTCTGCGTCTGCCTTGCCTTCGGAAAGCGCGTGCTGTCATGCTCTCATGAATAATTAAGCAGCCGGCTCTTCTCATAGGATAAGGAAACTCCGCTTTGAATAATAATGAGAAACCGACGCATCATCATTGCACTTGCGGTACTTCGCTATGTCGCCGATTTTGATCCCGCCCCAAAAATCATTTTAAACCCGGAAGCTGAAATTAGCTGACAAAATTATCCAGTTTACCCCACAATTAAAGCTGACAGGTGCTAACATTATCTTAACTGATGCTCAACACACACAAATCTGTTAACATATAAAAAAAAGTTCTCCAGGGTGTCCTGAACCTTTAAAGGCCTTGTTCGAAAAGACAGAGATGAATCCAAAGGAAAAGACTTGTGATTTTCCTGAGCATGTTTATTTACACAGTATTCATTTTACTTGTATGTTTTGTTTTTAGTGACTTTATTTTAACATTACAAAAAATGTTAGCTTATTAGTTCATGCCAACATTTAGGACAGCTTATTCACTCAGACAGACAGGAAGTCTATGTGGTTAAATGAGCAGATGTGATCTGCACTGTTTTCCTGGAGAGCATCTTGCAGCATCCTGCACTAAACCTCCTAGGAAATCACTAAAATAAAATAAAGCGCCTGGAACAGGAAAACTGCTCATTTTTAATGTCTCATATGGTTGGTTGGTGATTGATTTATTGTGGTCGAGCATTATTGTTTGCAATTTTTTGGACATATTTGAGACATCTCCGCTAATATCCACTTTGCATTTTTACTATAAAGGTGCTGTAAGTTTTAGACTCTTCTAAAGCATAAAAATGCCATAATATGTTTGCAGATATTTATGAAACGTGCCAAGTGAACATTCTTGTTTATCTGAAAACAAAAAGTCAGATATTCTGCTTTAATTCTGCTTTTTTTCTGCTTTGGTCATTTTAACCTGCCCAATGCCACTTTAGCCAGGTATGTTTCAGCAGCCCGGGTCATTATTATCCAGCTGCAGACCCACACAAGTTTCAGGCACACACAATCCAACACACACGATCTAGACAAACTATATATGGTTACGACAGATGTTAATGTTATTAGCGTCTTCTCGGACATCATCATCAATATAAAGCGGGTAATAAAACCAGGTCTGCATATGTAAATAAATAAAGTCAAGTTTCAGTCTCATGTTGCACTGATTTAAGGTCATTGTTTATTTTAATTATTTTTAGGGGATTTTCATCCTTAATTTAGATAGGACAGTAGAGGTTACAGGCAGGAAAGTATTGGAAGCAGAGAAAGGGGAAGGGATGGCAAAGGACCTCAAGCTGGGAAACGAACTCATGTCTCCATAAGCATCATGGTGTTATATGTTGATGCACCTAACCACTAGGCTTCTGGCACCGACATGGTCATTTATTTTTATTAATTAAAAAAATCAATAACACTTATCTTGGTAATTTACTCATTTTTTTCAAACTCTTCACACAGCACTTTTTTTACATTAAAAGTAACACAAAAACCTAAATATTTCTTAATATATCTCAAATTACATAATCCCTCTATTTTTTTCACTCATTTTGACATAAAAAAAAACTGGTGAAACAGATCTATGCAACTTTCTCAAGTCTCAACAAAACAAAGCTCTCTACTTTTAAAATTCATCATAGTATCTTCACAGTGTGAAAGGTTTTGAAAAACTGACCAAAGTGTTGAGAAATTATTAGAAAAATACCCCAATTTTTTTTAAAATACAAAACATTATTATTATTATGACTTTAGACAAAAAAGACCCCATCTGTGCCTGTAAAATACATGAATTTTAATATTCCGGTTGAAATACATTTGTATCGCCTTTAAAACACGCAACTCTTGATCTCCGTGTATTTACATGTGTTCTGAATCAGAATGATTTTACGCACATAGCTGTAAGGATGAAATGTAAATATCCTCATGCAAACCTAAACAAGGGTGAAACCGCAAGAGTAAGACATTTCTACAAACCGATGCGGAAAGAGTTTGATATCAGTGTCGCAAAATATTTTGAGAACTATTAAGCTTTCACAGGGAGCCAATCATAATATTTCCCCTTCAAATTCAAGGGAGAGCTGGAGATTTTAGATCAAACACAGCTGTGGAGATGATGTAAGGTGAAAAGTCCACTCCATACTTCTTTAAAGGGGGTTTTCAGAGCTTGTAGGAAAGCTTTTAGCTTTAAGTACGCAACCTGAGATTTCCGTAAAAGAGGATTGTGTACATTTGTTAAATAACAATAACCAAACAGCAACTCACATCAAATAAAAACATTCATTTGGTTTTATTTCTAAAATACTATTAAATTTAAGTGGAATCTTATTAAGAAGGGCTTAATTTAAGGCACTTGTGAAGCCTCAATAAAACACATCCCTCTGGATTGGATTTGCCTAAACTAGGGCCTGCGGGCTAAAGTTGGCCTATGGTAACCTTTGATTTGGCCCACCAACCAATCTGAGAAGAGAGGAACAAGGAAGGGAATCATTTCAAGATTGTCAATTCAAATGTAATGTAACCCTTTGTTTGTTTTATTGTTAAAAGCTAACTAAAATTAAATATTTCAATTAAATGGTGTAAATGAATCCAATTGTGACTGTCACCCAATAATGTGGAGACTTTGGGGAGCAAATCAAGGCAAAGGCAGATTCTGCCTGACTAGTGTTTTCAACATTGAACTCCACTGTGTTATAAATGCGATTATTGTTTTCATTGCAGTAAGTTCTCATTTAATACTACATATACTGCATTAGTTAATACAATTTAAAAGGATGTTTTCTATATATTTTTTTGTAATGTTACTAAATAAATTACAACATTAATTATGGCAAGTTAAATGTACTATAGTTTGGTATATTTATCTTTGGCCCACGGCTCTTAATTAAATTTGATTTTTGGCCCTTTATATGAAAATATTTGGGCACCCCTGCTAAGTAGCTGATCCATCACAAGTGCAAAAGGGTTTAATAAGTACATGTTCAAGAACAAATATTGTTTAAAGGTTAATAAAACATACACACTAAATTGTTGTAATTATAGAAACATGATTAACAACACGATTAAACCTAGAAGATCCTTTAGTGATCAATTTTGTAAAGTAGAAAATGTTCCTGGATCAACATTTAATTTTTTATTGAACACTGTAAAGAGCGATTTAGTAAATTTACTTTAGGAAATGATATCAAACCTATTGTGACTTGGAGCTGTTAAGTTTACAACTTAATTCTTAACATTATGCACATAGATTTTAATTAAATTTAGGTGGTTAACTGGTTTACTCACTTTTTGTTAAGTCAGCTAACAAAAAAGTCAACTAATTGCTTTTTTCCCCAGTGGTCTAATGAAGTCTTCCTTTAGAAAGTGTTCATTTTTATACTTTTTCTGTTGTTTTTTTCCAGTAAAAATGTTATTTTGCAATGTCATATTCATACAACATTTTTGTAACAATTTCAAAGTTTCGTCATGAAATATAAATCAACCAAATCATATAGCTAACAACATATTTAAAAAAAATCAAACCAAAAAAAAAAACTAATTAATAACACCAAGCGCATTTTTTTTTTTTTTGGTGAGTCAGTACGAAAAAAGAAAAAAAAAACACGAAAGATTAAAGATAGTTGTCATAGCTACTATGACCATTTAAAAACACTTTAAAATGGTTACCAATATTAATCTATTATTGTTATTAATAAGTGGAAAAATAAGCAAAATTCAAACAACATAAACATTTTTATAAATTCTTAGTTTTTTTTCATTAGGCTATGTTTACACAACAACTGTGCAGTAAAAAACTGAAAAGTTTTCCTTTCCGTTTTTTGAGATTTTTTACATACAGATGGCAGTGTTATCCAAATAATTCCTGTTCACAAGGGTCTGTGTTTTATGCATGCCAGGCCAGTAGATAGCGATGTTACATGACGTTTTTACACACCGGGTCCTGTAGTCCTGCATTGTTGTTTTGACTGACAAGTATAGACTCTTCACATTTCCGGGTCTCTCAGTAGTGGAAGGCGTCATGGTTGGGTAAACTTAGAGCACAGTGAAAACAACAAATTATTTTTTTGCAATCCTATTTGCGGAAATAATAAAATAAAAACTCCACAATGGTGTTATTAAGACTTTGAGAAAAAAATTGTGTGAGACTGACGACGGCAGCCAGAGAAAGAGAATTACGTCAAATTTACTCTCAGCCCTATAGACGCTGCATTAGAATCACCTCGCATAAGTGGTCATTTGTTTTTTGTTACTTGAAGCAAAGATGATATAATGCATTCATAAATGCACGTAAATGTTCAAACATTTTTTTTTATCAAAATACTTAAAAATTTAAAGGATTTAAGATTATGATGATGCTTAAACGACTCATAACCGTCTTGTGAAAAGGTTCCATTTACATGTGCAGGACACTGTTTTTGAACTTACAGATATGAAAATGTTTTCAGACACCCAGAACTATTTTTATAAAGAAGTGGTGAAAAATGTATTTGGTTTTCCATTTTTAGTTAAAAACGGTGTCATGTAAACGCCACACGAGTGTGTTGTTATGTAAATAACATGGCTTACATTATTACACACTCACTATACTTTCTAGATTTACTTGTTTAAAACTATTTTACTTTTCTCAACAGCGTTTTTATTAGTTTAATACGTGTGACCCTGGATCACAAAAACCATCAATACATTTCAATTAAAGTCTGTTTTGTTAGAATAGAACAATGTTGGGCTAAAATACAAATATTTGAAAATGTGTAATCAGAGGTTTCGGAAAAATATATATATATATATTGAGGAAATTCCCTTTAAAGTTGTCCAAATTAATCAGAAATTGTGTTTTGACATTTATAGTAGGAAATTTACAAAAAATATCTTAATTGAGCATGATCTTTACTTAATATTCGAATGATTTTTGGCATACAAGAAAAATCGATAATTTAGGTTTACATATAGTGTATATCTTTGGCCACAAATACATCTACTCAACCTAAAGGTCCCATTAAGTGCTATAAAATGTTCATTTTTTTAATTTGATGTTTGACTTAATCTCAACTGAAAATTGAAGAGAGGGCAGGACATAATGTTGTTCCTCCCCTTTAAAGAAACGACCAATAGCATTTCGTTTTTATCACAGCAGTGATAGTGATTTCCGCTTGTTAAGTCATGGCGTATCTGTGACAAATGGAATACTGTTTCCAGTTTCAAGCCACTTTTCATTTGAATTGAGAAAATATTTATTTATGACCACTTTTAAGTCATTTCACAAATCACAGTTTTATTTAAAATCATAAATAAATAGAGTGCAAGTCTCTGGACTTGCTGCATCACAGTCACCAATATTTTAACAATTTATTTTTTTTAAAAATCCCTTTCTGGCCATCTAATATTAGACATGATTATTTATGTATACTGCGATCGTGATTTTCGAAAGTATTACATCACTTTGTAAACGTTTATTATTCCCAGTTGTTGAGCCTCCCCATACAGTTTGATGGAAGGAAGCCGCTTCGCGTGGCGTCACACTTAACAAGCTGTTAGCTCAAGCGCATCAAATGAAAAACATATAAGAAGCGTCTTGAAGGGGGCGGGGCATGTCAGATACTAGAGAACATTTGATTGGTCTGAAGATTAAATAAGATAAAAGCTGTTTAAGTCCTCGTGTGTATGAGATTTAAGATTTGGGACTCTGCAGAAGTCTGTTCTGAAATGAAAGTGTCAGACTTGACATCATTCGCTATGGTTTTTAAAGACGCGCAACTCGCATTGATGGGAAAACCGATCTACCTGCTTACACTGCAGACACGAGCGATCCGTTCATATCGGATAAATTTCCAGATATGAACAAGGCCTGAATTTGATTTGAGTAAATCGGAATCCATGTGATTTGTTCCTGCTTGCACGTACATGGGTCATTTCTGATCTGTGCCACATTGGAGAAAAGAAATCGGAATTGAGCCAGTTAATCAGTGCAGTGTAAATGTGGCCTAAATGTTTAATTTTAATTGTAAAGGACCTTTAAAACTAGTTTTGTGTTCAAGGGTCATATATATTGTCATCATGACTCTCTTTTAATATTCACGTGATTTTTCTAAATATCGCTGATCCAGGAACATAATCTACTCTGCAAAATGACATGCACTCAAATCCAGTGGGTAATGCTCACTCAGGGGAATACTCTTCATTGTCCAGCTCCTCGAAGCCTTTATTGGTCCTGCCTTTGCTTCTGTAATTGTGACTCTGTTCCTCGTCCTGGTACTGCTTCTGGTAGTGATAGCCGCGCTCCTCCGCCGCCCAGCCCTGGTATTGTCCATCCTCTTCGTTCTCCTCAGGGGGAAGTTCTTCTTCGACATTGAAGCTGTCGTCCACCTCGGTATCGTATCTCTGGTAGGAGCTAGCGTGAGCCGCTTCTTCTCTAGCGCTGAGCTCCAGAGAGCTGTTCCACATCCCATAGCTGAAATAGATCAGCACACCTGTGGGATGAAGAGAGACGGGGTCAGCTCTGGCCAGTTCACATGAAGGACAATAACTAGCAAGTACAGCCAAGATCATAATATACCACATGGGATCAATATTGCTGTTAATTTTATTGTGGATGAATGAAACTTTCAGTCTAATGGACTTTATTCACACTACATTTTTTGCATTGTTGTCCTGGGATCCAAGAAACTTGTTTTATTGTGTATAGTATGTCACAGTTTTTTTTAATAATTATATTTTAGGGGTTTTCAACTGAGTTGATAGGACAGTGGAGATGTACAGACACTATAGTGTGGGGTAGGCATGGGACGATAATCGTTTTCAAGGGGTACCGAGGTTTTGAAAAGTCAAGGTTTTTTAAACTGCCAAAATTTTCTGTAATACCATGCCGAGTTCAGACTGCATGATTTTCAAAGTAGTCGTGTCACAGATGTTTTCACACTGCTTGACTATCTGGGCTAGTGTTTCGTCGCTGCTTTGTTTACACTGCAAGATGGATCGGCAACTGGGACATTCACATTGCATGACTTTACTATAAGAAGAATCGCTGACAACTTCGTCCAAACTACGTCTCAGCCAAAAACACGTAGTATATCTTTTGTTATTAACTACATAATGAGAAAGAAGCCTTTAATGGGGTAGAGCATGTACATGTTTGCTCACCTGGGTTTAAAGGGAATTAGCCATTTCTCCTCAACATTCATAATAAACTAATTTCTTTCTGTATGAAACGTCAAACAGACACAGTTGCTCCTGAGTCCTGTCAAACCTCCACTAGTTTTTCCTCCATTTCGTGGGTCCAAATAAACCGAAAAAGAGTGCTTTAAATTTCTCCCCCAGCCTCCCGCTGGCCTGCAGCAGGTATGCACACACGCACACACAAGTGAAAGCTGCTCTCTCATTGGCTGTAGGCGATGGCTGATGTTATTTTCAGTCAAAACTCAATTCACACGGCATGATTTGGATCGCCGACAGCTCCAGATATTTAGCACGCCAAATATCTCGCAGGCATCGGCGACTCATCGGCGATTCTCTCAGATCGCGTATTTGATCGTTTATACTATGTGATTGTCACTCACGTGCACGAGCGGCGATTTGCCTGTGATTTCAGGCATTTGTCGTCGATTTCTCAAAACCTGTCGGCGAGCCAAAATCGGGGCTAAAATCACGCAGTCTGAACTCGGCATAATATGTAAGGTTTTTATTTACATTTTTATAGGACAACAGTGTCTCCTGCAGAAACGATCTCCAAAGATGCCGTTTTAAATTGTTTTTGAAACTAATGAAGACAGCAGAAGTCAGGTATTCATTTTCATTATTTAGCCAGATATGTTTACTTTGCTTTCAAATAATGTAAAAGCAGATTTTTTAATGTAAATTTTTTTGTAAAAAAATGTATAAATTATGTTACTTTGGTTTTTGTTTTCATGTAATTACCTCACCACTTAGTCAATGTGTGGTTGTAAACAGGCCTTTACAGATGGGTGTTACTAAATTGTTACAATTCAATACGATACTGATACTTTGTTACAATCTTAACAATACCAATACTGATTATTTCTTCTTATTTTTAATTTGCTTAAAATAATGTAAGATTTTGTTTTTGTTTTTTGAAATCATTATACAAAAACATGTTCTTACTTAAGGACTCTATATTTTATAGCAACTGATTTTGGTGCAAATATGACTTTACAGATGGATACCAATTTTTTTAAATTCGATATATGATCAATACTCTTTTTTTTTTTAATCATGTTTTTTTGTTCTTAAATGGGTATGTGACTTTTTTTAAATAATATAATTTTTTCATGTCATTACTTGACACAAGCACAGAGTCATTGTTGTTGGTGTAATTTAATGATGATAATACAGATTTTTACATTTTTTTTATTTTTGTATTTGCTCAAAATAATGTTAGATTTTGGTTTTAAAAAATCATTATACAAAACATATTATTACTTTTACACTAAATATTTTATAGCAACGGATCTGGGTGCAAACACGACTTTAAAGATTGATACGATTTATTTTATTCGATCCATGCTCAATACTTTTTCTTTTTTTTTTTACTTTTTTTTTCAACACTACTGATACTGATTATTTCTTAAATTGCTCTGTAATTTTTCAAAAATAATGTTAATGTTTAATAACAAAAAAGATCATACAAAAAATTTATTTTGATAACTTAAGTAATTGTAATAATGCAGTTGATTGCACACACACACATTTCCAACCTTTTCATTAGGAATTTTTGCATGTTAAAAGTGTCCATACATTTGATGTTATGTTTATTGATTAATGCATTTAAGGAAATATGTTATGTGGCTGCAGTGTTTCAAGCTAAGTATCGAAATTTCTCAGATTCCCGAAATAAATTTTGTGATAACTCCTCTGGTTGGACACAATACTTCATTTTTTTGAATGATTAAATGGAGTGTTTGAATTGATCACAACTAATTAATAGAAATCTGACACTACAAGGATTCTGTGGGTGGCAAATTTAGGAAAATTTCAAACTTAAGTGAGCAAAAACCCTTCTTTGTTATAGTTAGATGTTAACAGGTCTTTATCAGTGGGGAATAACAACTATTTTTAAATTCAATGTGAGAATATCGACAATTTCAACAACTGAAACTCATAGCGATTATTTCATAAATGGGTATGTTTTTTGTTTGGTAAATACAATCATCACTTAAAGGCAAACTACATCCACATATTGCCCATTATTATACATAAAAAGGTTCTGGCTTACCTAGTGAGCACCACACCACAAAGCGCACCCAGGTGATACTGGAAAGCTTAAGCATGAGGTAAATGTTCACCAGCATGGCAGCAGTGGGTACAAAAGGCACGCAGGGTGCCATATAAGGCAGCTTCTTCGGGTTTTCAGGCTGACGAAGAATAATAATGAGCAAAGTGACCATAAGGACAATTATAGTCAATATAAAAGGCAAGATCGCCCAGCGTGCTCCTCCAGAAACCCGGTCAAATCCATAGATCACCAGTGTCCAGAGAAAGAAGGTCAGGATAAAGAAAATCAGGACACAAGAAGTAACAGTGCGTCCTGTTGCAGGAGTGGGCTTATCACTTACGTTCGGCAGGCCCAAACGCATCCGAATGGTGTAATAATGAGAGCCCAACACACGTTTAAAGAGTCCATCAGAGTCATCCACCTCTATGCCGTTTTCTCCAACACCATAGCCCTGATTCTCTGACTGGTAGCCCCCGGAATCAGACTTTTCAATCAAGGTTTCGTTGTCTCCTTTAGAGGGAAGGTTTTTGGCTCCACAAGGGTTTTCTGCGTACTCTTCTCCGCCAGGTGAGTTCAGGTCTTTCTCACTAGCCGCCATCATTTCTTCTTTCCTCCTGCGTTCCTCCTCTTCCTCCTCTGTCAGGAAACTGGTGAAGCCGTCTCTGTCTGGCTGATATCGCAGGAGAAGCACACACACGGACACCAGTGTGTAGGCCAGCAGTGTGCCGATGGACATCATCTCGATCAGGTCTCTCAGACTCACCAGGAGAGCCAACAGAGCGGCCAGAGAGCCCGAAACAGCACAGGCCACCACTGGAGTCTCTGTGTGGGGGCTCACGAAGGACAGAAACCTGGTGTACACACAGAATTATACACTTGGGATGAAATTGTCATGAAAAAAAATGTGTACAGTTAAAGTCAAAAGGATTACCGCTGCTGTGAATTTTATTTTTTTAAATGTTTCCCAAATGATGTTTAACAGAGAAAGGAACTTTTCACAGTATTTTCTATTATATTTTTTTCTTCTTGAGAAAGTCTTATTTGTTTTATTTCGGCTAGAATAAAAGCAGTTTTGAATTTATTTTTAAACCTATTTTAAAGTCAATATTTATAGCCCCCTTAAGCTTTATTTTTTCGATTGTCTATAGAACAAACATCGTCATGCAATCACTCCCCTAATTGCCCAGTTTAAACCTATAAATGGCACTTTAAGCTGTATAGGAGTGTCTTGAGAAATATCTAAAATATTATGTACACTCATCATGGCAAAGATAAATTAGTTTTGCGTGCTAATAATTCAGGAGGGTTAATAATTCAGATTTGAACTGTATATACACAGTAGTCAACATTCAAAGTGGATCAAAACCTTTCATCTAAAAGTTGTCCTAACTGTCCCATAAACCCAGTCCTGTCAGGACAATTTTGATTAACTTTTTTGATCTAATGTTGAATATGGTACACATGACTTTACAGGCTCGTAACCAGGAGGGAGTTCAGGTGGTTTGAAAGACCCACCCCTACTGACAAACTAAGGTCCAGAATTTGTCCCATAAATGAGCTCATTTGTCCTATTTCGACTGCTGTGTCATCATAAATTGTGAAAATAACCCATCAAAGGCTTTAAGACCACTACTGACGTACTGTATTGCTGGTAAATAGAGACTTTTATTCTAAATCTTATTCTTGAAAGAAAGATTGACCAATTAAAAAAGGTTTGACAGACCAAAAGTGTCCCACATTAACATTCATTTAAAACTTATTAGGATGCTTTAGTTATCCAAGAATTTTCAAATAGACTGTTTTACAAGAAAGGCTAGAAAAAATGTGAAGCTCTACATTATTATTAGAGCTGGGCTGATAAACAATATTATATCGAACTGCGATAAAATTTATATGAATACAACTCTATATTGATCTAAGATCCAATCACACAGCAGAAATGTGCAACAATGGGAATCTAAACGTGTGATGATATTACAGATGTAACAAGTTTTCGGCCACTGAAAATTTATCAGTTGAAAATGTTATGCCATTTAATGGACTTTCCAATTTTTTGTGGCTTCACTTCAGTGATTGTTGGGGTACTCTTTTAAATCCGGAAAAAGAAACCTTCAAAGAACCTTCATTCACAATATGGTGGCTTTAATGAAGTAAAAAAAAAAAGAGTACCAACAGAGTTCTTTTGTGCTACTGTATTTTTTTGGTCAAGTCATTTTCCTCATTTAGATTTTTTAAAAAACCTTTGCCAAAGTGTTATGAGTCATGAAGCAAGCCAACCATAGCAAAGAGAACCACATTACAAACTTTGATTTGTAGAAAAGTAAGTTAAAAATCAGACAAGAGAGAGTGGTCTTTTAATTTTTTTTTTATGAATTCACATGCATTAATTACAAACTACCATTTAGGTATTTTGGAAGAAAAGTGAGAAGCATTTACGTCATTTGCGGCACTTCATGGGACTGGGTGGAGCTAAAAGATCTTTTGGATCACTTTTTTTGCTACAGAATCATGGGTAATGTAGTTTTTTACAAATTAGATGAATGTCCCCACAAATGTATATTCAGTCATATATCAGTTTTTGCATCTCACTCTGAAATACTTGATTGTGATTGGTCAGTTGCAACTTGCAGCATTCTGGGGTATGTTCCCCAATAGTCCAATTCTTATCTGGATAACTTCGGTGGTGCTATAAGCAGGAACTGTTTGCTATTTATTTGTTTTTTAAAGGGATGGTTCATCTTAAACTGAAGATTCTGTCATCATTTACTCACCCTTCCCTTGCCACAAACCTGTTTGAGTCACAATGAACACGAAGTCATTTTGAAAAATCCTGAAAACTGGTAGCCATTGACTTCCACAATATTTGTTTTTTAAGTCAATAGTTTCCGTTTTCTAACACAAAATAGTTTGAAAGTACTTGAGGGTCAGTAAATAATGAGTAAATGTTCATTTTAGGATGCCTTTATACGTTAAAATGTATAAGCAGATTTTAAATTTAATGTTTGTATTGCCCCATTCAATTTAGGATTGGACTTAGTTTTGCTTGGCCAAAAACCATTGCAAATATCATGGCTGTCAATGAACTGACTATCCTTAAAATGACTTGTATACCTGAAAAGCAGACCATCTCCGGCCATGGCGTAGATGACTCTTGGCATTGGAAACAGAGATCCAAGCAGGCTGACGGTGAGTCCTGCGACTGCACCCACAGCTACTATATACTTCCCTGCCAGGAAGCCATGATCTGCAAACATCTCCATGAGCGGGGCATCGCCATCAATCAGGTTATAGGGTACCAGCAATGTCAGAATCACACTCACCTGAGACACAAACAGATCAAATGGGTTATTTTTTTAACAGTTTGTAAGAATTATTTTTAATACATTGCCTGAAATAACCATTAAACAACATTCTCATTTCTAGGTGTGGTTGTGAATGGATGCTGTAGGATGATTCACCCGATTCCACTGTACATTAAGAAAATTGATATCGTACTGTATTTAATCTGCCTCTGGAGAGTAAAAGGAAAATCACTTTCAGATTAATATTGGAGGATAAGCAGAGGTCTTCAGCTCTAGGGATCAGGATTGGGCTTGAATAAATTACAGTCCAACTCTGAAGAGCTTAAGTGATTCACTGAATTAAGTTAATACGCAATTGGCTAGAAAACTTGCATGCATGATTGCACAATCATTTTTTTTTTTTTTTTGCAGTTTTGTTCTTTAAATATTCATGTTCAAATTTGTTAAAAAAACAAGGCCCAAGGTTCTTAAAAAATAAAGGTCATTATATATTTTATATATACAGTTGATGTCAGAATTGTTAGCCTCCCTCTTTATATTTTTCCCCAATTTCTGCTTAATGGAGAATATTTTATTACATTAAGATTTCTAAGCATAATAGTTTTAATAACTCATTTCTAATAACTGATTTATTTTATCCTTGCCATGATGACAGTACATAATATTTGACTCGATACTGTATTTTTCAAGACACTTCTATACGGCTTAAAGTCAAACTACAAAAGGCTTAACTGTAGGCATCGAAAAAATATATAGCTTAAAGGGGCTAATAATTTTGACCTAAAAATTTAAAAACTGCTTTTATTCTAGCCGAAATAAAACAAATAAGACTTTCTCCTGAAGAAAAAATATTATCAGACATACTGTGAAAATTTCCTTGCTCTGTTAAACATCATTTGGGAAATATTTAAAAAAGAAAAGAAAATTCAAAGGGGGGCTAATAATTCTGACTTCAACTGTATATATAAAATATATAAGATCTATATATATATATATATTGTTTGCATATTATAAAGATCCATCTGTACTGATTGAAAAATACTGCTCAAATTATATTAAAGAGATAGTTAACACATAAATGTATATTCTGCCACCATTAAATCATTCTTCCTTTGTGCAAAACTTATTTAAATGTCTTTCTTCTATTAAACACAAAATTAAATATTCTGAAAAGTTCTGCAAACTGGAACCCAATGACTTCTAAAGTCATTTTTTCATAGTTTAGAATTCAAGTCTGCCAGCAACCATCATTTTTCAATAACTGGTTGTATTCAACAGAAGATAGAAGCTCATAAAGGTTTAAAACCACTTGAGAGAGGTCATTTGGGGGGGGGGGGGGGGGGTGAACTGTCCTTTTAACGCTACAAAATATATAATAATTTTTTTAACTAAATATTTGCCTTTAGCTATTGGCTTTTAAACAAATGAAATATATAACATTTAGGTTTGTTTTTCACCAAAATATTTCTGCATTTGTGTTTAAAAATCTTATTTCTGATTGCTATTACCTGCTTTTATATAGCTAGTTTGAAAACAAAAAGTCTCCTTTTCTGATTTAAAAAAAAAGAGCATATAATAACAGCATTATTAGAGCACAGGAACAATAAGAGCAAATAATTGGTTAAATGTTTCTTTTTTGAGTAAACAATCCCTTTATAGATATTTTGAGTCAGAGTCCAGTATTTCTGAATGAGAGGAGTAACTTTACTCACAGAGACATAAGCTGTAAGACAGGTGACAAGAGAAGCTGTTATGGCGTATGGAATGGAAGTGTCAGGACTCTTGGCCTCTTCTCCTGTGGTGGCAATAATATCAAAGCCAATGAACGCGTAGAAACAGGTTGCAGCTCCTTGCATGACCTGCAAAGTGAGTCATCTCTATTATAGTCGATGGACATTACAGCAAACACTGCTCAAAATTAACATAAATATATGGTGACCAAGAGAGCTCAAAGGTGGAGCAAGTCAAGAAAACCCATGTAAAATCAAAAAACACTAACAAATTTAGAGAATAATTTGACACAATCGACAAAACTGGCTGATTCCTGTTTTGAGTCTGTGGTGTTGTCGGCAATCTAAGAGATGAGATTTATGTTTATTATATAGTCTTAAACACATGCTTTCCTGTTGTTAGTTTATTTTTAGCACTAATGATCTACGGTAATCTGTACCGTAGATTAGGACGTTAAAATAAACAACAAAAAAACTCACCTCTCAGATCTGACAACACAGCAGACTTTAAACAGGAAGCAGTTGGTTTGTCACTTTTTGGGATCCTCAACACATTTCCATTGTGGTCTGCACTATTTGCAGTGCATTTCTGTATTTGCATGTGTAATGAGAATTTGTGTCCTCATGTGTTGATAAAATGATGATGTTTTCTCAATTTGTTATGATGGGTTAACGCTAAGGGCTCTGATTTAATGGTCTAAGCGCAAAGTCTAAAGCACATAACTCAAAAGCATTAAGGGCGTGTCTGAATCCACTTTTGCTATTTTAAGAATGGAAAAATAGTCTGACAGGGTTGTGATTATTCTCTTAATGAGTTATGGGTGTGTTTTGAGCATAATGAGCATTAAACCAATCAGAGTCCCATCCTCCATTCTCTTCAAGAGTCAGTTGCATCGCCCCATGGCACATTTGTTATTTACTTGGCGGACTTTGTAAGTGGAAAAACGAAAAGCTTCACTAGCAAGAAAACAGTTAAACAAACCATCTGCAGTGCAAGGATAAAGAACAAGCCTCCTCCATTCGGCATTTTTACTTTACTTTTACTCTTTACTCCTTTACTTTCATGGATAAGGAAACTGTTGTACGCACTCCACTGAAGACATTCATTAGCTTACATATTTAATTTTGTTTGTTACGCACAAAGAATAGTTTCAGGACTATTATTAAATTAAGTTCTAATTTCCAGCAAACTAATAAATGAACAATAATAACGCAGTGTGGTCAAAAAACTGTTAAATTAAACACGCATCCTATTCTTATGCCCCATATGGTGATGGCATACATCTCCTAATCCCGACAGGTGGACGAATCTTGTTTTTATTAAAACAAATATAAATACACATATAATAATAATACTACTGCTAATAACAATATCATTATACAAATGCAAATTATCATAAATTAACTGAAAAAAAGGCAAGGAAGCATAAAGACGTTTTTATATTCATGTAGAAAATAATAATATTTGTTGCAACATTTCAATCCTTAAATTTTTTCATTTGTAAATATGTTTGTGTATTGCTGTACATCCTGTTTGTATAAAGCAATGTGTAAGCATTTGAACCCACATAGGTACTGGACTTTAGACCTGTTTTCAGTATGTCAATGGCGTGTTCTATTTCAGTTTTTCAAAATAGCAAAATGCCAATAATGCGCCTTAACACACCTCTATTAAAGAACAGCACACCCAAGAGTCCACAAAGTGGTGCAAATGGATTTGCTATTTAAACAACGTGGGGCAAAACATGAAAATTAGAGTTGCACTCACCTGAAAATAGCAACAAATCGCGCCAAACACGCCTTGCGTCTTATCATCTTAGGGCTTTATAATTGAAAACACACTCATCAGATCACTCTCTCTCTCTCTAGTTTACTCACAGGATGTTTTTTGTCTCATAAGAATTTTCAATATGAGTTTAATTTTTTGACCTGACATAGAAGATTGTATTTGCAGATTTCAGTTTAGTGAACCCAGCATTAGTGTTTTTCTAAATGAATGTTTTCTTAACTAAGTACATTTCTGTATTTGCATGTATTGAGGGGGTTTGTGACCGTGTGTATTGTCAAATTCATGAAGCTTATCTCAATTTGTAGGTGTTTTTTGGATTTGCAAATGTTTTCTTAACTTTCAGCAGGTTTGGGCTCTCTTGGCCACTGTACATAACCCATTCTTACCCCTGACCAGCCATAGGGCAGGAATCTCCCACCTTCCCAATTGGCTCCAGAGAGGAAAAACAATCCGGCGAGCACCATGAAGACCCACACAACCAAGTTAACAACATTCAACACATTATTGAAGCTCACAGAATTTTTCACGCCTAAAGCAATGATCACCGTCACCACCAAAGCGATCAGCAGAGCCAGCAGATCTGGGTAAGATTCCTCTCCTTTACCTGAAGTGAGATGCACACTTATAAATAAACTTTATAAATAAACTTTTTTTTATTTTAATTTTCCTGATTAAAAAAGTTTGGAGCAAATTAATATTTGTCAGGTAATACCAGGGGCTGTATGTAACAACAACAACAGCAACAACTGCTGCTGCTTCTGATGCTGTAGTGTTTTGTAGTAACTCAGTGTTTGAAATTGACTAATGTAAAATGAACTGACCTAAACAATGACAACATGGACCACACTAGTGATTTGTTTAGCATCTTACACTCACCAAGACCATTCAGTGTTCCTAGATGGTTGATCATGTAGCGGCTGATGGTGTGATTGGCTAATGAGTCAAACATGCTGCTCAGCGCACTGGCTCCTGCCGCAGTACCAATCAGGTACTCCAGTATCAGATTCCAGCCAATAAAAAAGGCCACAAATTCTCCCACTGTGACGTAACTGTATGTGTAGGCGGAGCCTGTGGTTTTAGGGACTCTCACTCCAAACTCAGCATAGCAGACACCTGTGAGAAAACAAAGGAGACCAGCTGTCTGACAAGATCATACACAATTTTGATATTTTGCCATTGATCAGGAATTGTTTTATGTTTTGTTTTTGTTGTCATTTTTTGTAAATACAGTGCATCCGGGAAGTATTCATAGCGTTTCACTTTTTCCACATTCTTTTATGTTACAGCCTTATTTCAAAACGGATTCAATTGATTTATTTGATCAAAAATTCTTCCCACAATACCCCAGAATGACAATGTGAAAAAGGATTTTTTTAAATTGTTGCAAATTTATTAAAAATAAAAAAACTGAAAAATCACATGTACATCAGTATTCACAGCCTTTACTCAATACTTTGTTGATGCACTTTTGGCAGCAATTACAGCCTCAAGTCTTTCTGAATATGTTGCCACAAGCTTGGCACGACTGTCTTTGGGAATTTTTGCCCATTCCTCTTTGCAGTACCTCTCAAGCTCTATCAGTTTGGATGGGTAGCAATGGTGTACAGCCATTTTCAGATCTCTCCAGAGTGGTTCAATAGGATTTAGGTCTGGGCTCTGGCTGGGCCACTCAAGGACATTCACCGAGTTGTTGTGAAGCCACTCCATTGATATTTTGGCGGTGCGCTTTGGGTCATTGTCCTGCTGAAAGATGAACCGTCGCCCCAGTTTGAGGTCAAGAGCACTCTGAAGCAGGTTTTCATTCAGGATGTCTCTGTACATTCCTGCATTCATCTTTCCCTCTATCCAGACTAGTCTTCCAGTTCCTGCTGCTGAAAAACTTCCCCACACCATGATGATGCCACTACCATACTTCACTATGAGAATGGTATTAGCCTGGTAATGAGCGCTGCCTGATTTTCTCCAAACGTAACGCCTGGCATTCACTCCAAAGAGTTCAATTTTAGTCTCATCAGACCAGAGAATTTTGTTTCTTATAGTCTGAGAGTCCTCAGATGCCTTTTGGCAAATTCCAGGTGGGCTGGTGGCTTTCATCTGGCCATAAGATGAAACATACATAAGATGATGGCCACTGCCACTGTGCTCATTGGAACTTTCAGAGCAGCAGAATTTTTTCTATAACTTTCCCCACATATGTGCCTCAAGACAATCCTGTCCCAGAGGTCTAGAGACAATTACTTTGTCTTCATGCTTGGTTTGTGCTTTGACATGCACTGTCAACCCTGGGCCCTTATATAGACAGGTGTATGCCTTTTCAAATCATGTCCAATCAACTGAATTTACTGTGAACAACTTAACTGCTGAAACGTCTCAAGAGTGATCAGTGGAAACAGAATGTACCTGAGCTCAATTTAGAGCTTCACAGCAAAGGCTGTGAATACTGATGTACATGTGATTTTTCAGGTTTTTTATTTTTAATAAATTTGCAATAATTAAAAATATATATTTTTTCACATTGTCATTATGGAGTATTGTGTGTAGAATTTTTAACAAATAAATGAATTTAATCCATTTTGAAGTAAGGCTGTAATACAAAAAACAAATTAGAAAAAGTGAAGCGTTATGAATACTCTCTGGATGCACTGTAGGCTAATTTTTTTCCAATAATAAAGGAACTTTGCTGCTGTACCCTGACTGCAGCAGTCCTATTGATATTACTCAGATTCTTACCTATAGTGCAAGTATCGCGCTTGATGCTGGTGACTATTTTCAGGCACAACATAATATCATTGCCATGGTACAGCAGGAAAGATCTTAGATTATTAAGCAGGAATGAGAATATAGTTCCTAGCCATATTAGCCTAGAAAATAGCAACTTTTCTTTTTCAGTCAGTCGTAGGATCCAATTTAACTACAGCAGAGTAAAGCTTTAAGTAAGAAAATTATTTAAACTCTTTGATCACTTTTGAGTGACAGTCTAATTATGCTAAGCCAAGCTCAAAGTGGTCTTACTAGACCCAGAGAGGCTGAAGGGTAAAAAAAAAGATAAAAGTTTGCAGTCTAACTCTGTTGCTTGTAAAATGTTCCTTTAAAACCTGATCATTGGATGCTGAAAAATATACAGTATATTCAGCACTTTATACGTAAACACAGTATTGTTATAATTAAAATTTTCATGTCAAGTTTTAATTATTTTATTATTAATATTATTATTATTATTATTAGGAACGCGGAGATGCAGTGGGTAGGACGATCACCTTACAGCAAGAAGGTCGCTGGTTCGAGCCTCGGCTGGCTCAGTTGGCATTTCTGTGTGGAGTTTGTATGTTCTCCCCGTGTTTACGTGGGTTTCCTTACGTGGGAGTCCAAAGACGTACTGTAGAATGAATTGGGTTAGCTAAACTGGCCATAGTGTATGTGTGGGATTGAGTGTGTATGGGTGTTTCCCAGTGATGGGTTGTAGCTGGATTAATAAAGGGACTAAGCCTAAAAAGAAAATGAATGAATGAATAATAGGGCGTCATGGTGGCTCAGTGGTTAGCACTGTCGCTTCATAGCAAGAAGGTCGCTGGTTTGAGCCCTGGCTGGGTCAGTTGGCGTTTCTGTGTGGATTTTGCATGTTCTCCTTGTGTTTGCGTGGATTTCCTGAGGGTGCTTCGGTAGGCGTTTCTCAGTGCTGGGTTGCAGCTGGAAGGGTATCTGCTGCGTAAAATAGCTGGACAAGTTGGCGGTTCATTCCGTGGTGGCAATCCTTGATAAATAAAGGGACTAAGCCAAAGTAAAATGAATGAATTATAATAATAAATAATAAATCTTTATAATTACTTTAATTATTATAATAATAAATATTATTAATACATTAATGTGTATTTTCATATTTAAAAATGTGGTAAGAATTACTAATTTATTTTTTACTAATTTATTGATATATTAAGTGAATTTTAGAAACAATATGAACCTTTTGACATATTTAAAAAAACTAAACAAAGATAATCAACATTTATGTATTATTATCATACTTTTATTTTAGTATTCACTGTTTTATTACTGTATTTTGAAGGTGGACAGAACAGCCTGGTTCTTGAACCAACATGCATGAACTTAGATTTAGACTTATATGACATTTACCACACATCTGACATTTACCTGTCTCTGATCCAAGTCTTTCAGCAAAAATATCATATCACAAAACAATCCTAACCAAGCAATGAAAACCTTCTCTCACAGCCTCCAGCTCACATTTGCAACACATCTAAAAACCCTACAACAGCAGGACAGATGTTGACCTCTTCACATTATTTTGACACTCTAATCTTTAAATGCAAAGCGCTGATAAAGTCTCACCTGACAGAATGGACGCCACAGCTGCAATAATGAAAGACAAGATCACTCCAGGTCCTGCCATTTCCTTCGCAACAAGCCCGGCAACCACATACATCCCAGTGCCCACGCAGCTGCCCACCCCGAGTGACACCAGGTCCACTGTGGTCAGCACACTCGCCAGTCTGGTGCCATGCAGATCACCCGAACCCTCCAGCATGGAGTCCACAGGTTTGGTGCGCAGGATCCGAGAGTGGAGCCCATACCAGGACGAGTCCCACTCAATCCTCCTGGGGTCCAGTTTAGCAAACAGAGCACTCATCCTTTACTCTGATTTTTTAGTGTGTGTATGTGTGTTTTTTTTTTTTTTGCTAAACTTGTCTTGTTTGACTGTCTTCTGCCTGATTCTTTGCTCCTTACTCTCTGGTTTCTCTCTCTCTTTTTCTCTCTGTGTCTCAAAGAGGATCCATGAGCTGATCAATTAACATGCTGCTCCATACCGAATCCTGCAAAAATACTGAAAGCACAGGAATCGCATGTCATTGAGAGATTTTGGAAAATAATCAAGCATTTTGTGTTTGGTGCTGCAGAGCGGCGTGTTGCAATACATAGTGGGACAATAGAAAGTGTCTGTTCATTCGCTCAGGTGAAATGTTGCTATGGTGGCACAACTCATTAAACTTGCAGATTAGCATATGGAGAGCATCAGATATCCAGTGGACATTGATATACTAATAGAGAGAGCAGGGGGGACAGAATGTCATATTTCAGCCTGGAGGAAAAAGTGGACAGGGGTGTTAAAAAAATAAAAAGGGGTGTTTGAAAATAGACTATATATATACAGCTTTAACGTGACATTTAAAATCTTAACTAGGTTAATTAGGTTAACTAGGTTAGGGTAATTAGGCAAGTTATTGTATAATGATGGTTTGTTCTGTAGACTATTAAAAAAATTATAGCTTAAAGGGGCTATTAATTTTGACCTTAAAATGGTTCATAAAAATTTTAAAAACTGCTTTTATTCAAGCTGAAATAAAACAAATAAGACTTCCTCCAGAAGAAAAAACATTATTAGACATACTATGAAAATTTTCTTGCTCTGTTAAACAATTTAGGAAATATTTAAAAAAGCAAAAATAATTCAAAGGGGGCCAATAATTCTGATTATATATATATATATATATATATATATATATATATATATATATATATATATATATATATATATATATATATAAACATTATTAGTTAATTTTTATATATTTGAACACATTTTTAAACATAATAGTTTTGATAACTAATTTATAAGAATAACTCTTTTCTTTTGTCTTTGCCATAATTATAGTACATATTGTTTTACTAGTTATTTTGCAAGATACAAGTATTCAGCTTAAAGTGTAATTTAATAATATTGAAATACTTAAAGTACCTTTTTTAACTTTCCAAATTACTTTAATTAAAAAAGTCCTTGTTCTGTTGAATATAATTTGAAAAATGTTTTAAGAAAAAAAAATCACAGCTAATAATTCTCCTTTCTGTTTAGATATTGAGCAGCTGTTATATTGATCTTTGTGTGTGTGTGTGTGTGTGTGTGTGTGTGTGTGTGTGTGTGTGTGTGTGTGTGTGTGTTGCGGCTGGAAGGGTATCCGCTGCGTAAAAACTTGCTGGATAAGTTGGCGGTTCATTCCGCTGTGGCGACCCCAGATCAATAAAGGGACTAAGCCGACAAGAAAATGAATGAAGAATGCAATTTTATGAAAACTTGAAGTTGAAAACAATTTTTTTGAAAACAAAACCCCCTACATTTTGTGATCTCTGTTATTACCCTTCAGGCATAGGACATCAATTTGACAACAGATTGAACTTGGACCCCAACATCATAAGGGGCGTTGGATTTTGTTTGGAAAATTGGGTTGACAGCAGAACCCAATGCCATGCCAACATCAATGTCCAACGTCCAACCTAAAATCAACCAAATATCAACGTGTAATGATGTTACAGCTTTACGTTGTGTGGACGTTATTACTATGACATCTATCATACGTTGGATTTTGGTTGCTAAACCTGATGAATAAATGTCAGTATTTGACCTCAATATGATGTTGGCTTAAGATGTTGGCTCAACTTTGGATTTTGGTCACTTTCCAACACTACATAACATCAACCAAATATCAATTGACATCCTTTTTTGACGTCAAAATAATCTCCTTAGATGCTGGCTAGACTAAATTTAACCTAACATTAACAAGTTGTGTGCCTGCTGGGTAATCTCCACACTGTAATACATCTTGGTTGCCTTGGTTCAATCTGAACCATTGAACTTATATTTTTGTAAATTGACTTAAAAAAGCTTGCATAAATTATCAAATGAAGTTACAACAAGATTACCTTAGTTTAATAAGTTAAAAGGACCTAAAAACATATGCTATAATCACTAATTGATCATATCATTTTTACAATGCACTATGCTCTATTGATGAGCCGTCAGTCTCACCATCTGTTTCTCCCCACTATGTACCTCACAGTGTACTTTTGTTTTGTTTTTTCCCTGTGCAGATAACATCACCACACGGTGCTATCTGGTTTCGCTTAAACTAATTCGGGCCTGCCGCTCACTCAGACCTGAGATCTGCTGGATCTGCCTGCTGGTGATTCCCAGTCCCACTGCTCTCCTATACAGTCTGACAATATCTCAACTGTCATCAAAACACAGAGCAAACTGAAGCACAGCCGACAGTGATATACTGATGATGTCAGATACTGAGTAATATCCACATCACCTTTTGGGAAAAACCAAGTGAGACAACAGATGTCAAACACTCTCAGCTGTCTCTGTAATAACGCCATACAGACATTATAATAATATTGTGATCCGAGTAACCCATTGACTTCCCTTATTCTCATTTCACCTTGAGTGAATAACTGGAAATGGAAATACCTTTACTAGACATGTGGCAATAATCATTAATGCACTTCTGAATGATTATTTATGATTTACATTTTTAGAACGACTCTTATGAATATTCAGATAGTTGAATTTGAAGTGGTTTTCATTATAGAATTAAATGCATCAAAATTTAATATGTTATTTAATTTACAACATAAACATGGTTGTTAATATGGCCTACAACAATCCTGAGATACTGACTGAAAACACACATATTCTTTATAGACCTTTTGACTCACACTAATTAAAATAAGGCTCTGTTTATTTACATTATTTAATGAAACTAAACTGAGGATGAAAACTTGTAAAGCATTTATTTATCTCAGGTGTTGTTAATTTGATAGGTAATGTTTAATAACTAATAAGTTTAACTGTTTATTTAATGAAGCTAACCAGCTAATAAGTGAAGTTCAGTAGAATATTGTAAAACTAACATTAACAAAAAATCCAGAAACAAATAGTCATTTCTCATTGTTGATGTTAAACCATTAACAAGCATTCACTATGAAACCATATTGTAAAATGTTACTAATCTTATATATGGCCATATATGAACATACATTAATATAAAGTATAACTATAGTTCATTTGACTTTTTCTGTACATATTTTTAATTACAATTGTTGAAATATATGTTGCATATATGACTGTAGGTCTATGTGAAATCCAAACAAGAATTTGAACCTGTCATATATGTCATCTGCATATACTTCTACATGGGAATACTTTAGAATTCTTTAAAGCATTTGTTGACTGAAAGTTTATGTAGGCTACATCAAAGCAATAGTAGTTCCTTTTTTATTTAACATGCCTACTTCTTAAAGTAACCTTTCTTTTGCGTTTTTTGTCAATGTAATGATAATGAATTAAACTGCAATCAAAGCTTCAGCATTTACTGTAATGAGACTCAATTATGTCATTAGCACTTCAGGTCAGATCTCTTGCCTCGTTGCAAGCCTCTGACTCTGATTGGTGGAGTTTTCTCTACAGCATCATGGGTAATGTAGTTTTTTCTGCAATAATTCTGTCATTAAGCTGTAAATAACTGTTTACAAGAATTGAATTGATGTAACATTTCAAAAAGTAGTTAACAACTTTAGAGCTCACAACAAATCAGTCACAAAACGTTTATCAGTTATTGTTAAATTATCACTTTCCCTTTATACAAAATGAAGTTTTACTTACAGAACCCAACTGTTTTGAGTATTAAGAGTAATAATAGAAACATATGTTCGAACAAATGACTAATGATAATCGGAATCATTATAAAAAGTAATTAAACAAGTTAATTAGACACTTTTTTTTAAAGAAAGTAATGTGAAAGTATGTGTTTTTCTGCACTTTTATTTTAAGATAAAGAAACACTTGTTTAGACACTTGTTAGATTGTAATATATTTATTTTAAATATACACTGTAAACATCTTCCTGACTTAAATGTTTTAGTTGAATCAAATGAACTTTTATAGTCAACTTAATTTCTCAAATCAGTCAAACTGACTAAAATGTTGTTAAACTTTGCATTACTAAAAAAAAATACCTGAAACCTTATTAAATTAAGTTAAAGTAACATAAATTTGATTCATGAATTTTGATTCAAATATTCATGTCATGTTTGTCATATTTTGACAGTGTTACCCAACCCTGATGACGTGCAGTATTCAAATACATCAAAGAACACTAACTGCAATTCAAACACAGCTACACTGAAAAAAAGCTTCAAGCAGTACCTCTGTCAATTTAAAATGTATCTTTCATTTCAGTCTAATATTATTTGTTTTATTTTTCAAGTAGTGTATTTAAAGTTCAAAACATAGTTAAGGATCAGGGTGTGGCCAAGTAGGAGCGCTCACTCTGATCCCCCGAGCTCTGCGAGGGTTGTGGAAATTCTAAATTGAACCAAAGCGATTACAATTGGCTTAAGATTGGCAAGGAAAATTTGGCACATGCGTCAACCAGCAGAACTTGGGAATAAAAAAAATAAACATATTAAATGTAAATGTTTTTTTTTATTAAGAGCTCAACTAAGAATTATTTGTTTTGACCAATGTAAAACTTTCAGGTTATTTACACAGGCCAGTGCATTAAACAGAAGCTCAATGTGCTTTGTATTGTTATGGACTCAAAAATATCGCTTGATTTATTTTTCAGTGGCTCAAGTGATCACATTTAGATGTAGAAAAAATTAGTTCATTTTTTAACTGGATAAATGAGCATTTATGGGAATTTTTGTTTTGATTAAAGCTGTGCTGTAAAATGCCTTAAATATTTAAGCTGAATCAAATTACCCTAATGAGTACATTGAATTTATATTATGTAAAAACTGACTTAAAACTGCTTGCATGACTTATAAAGTTGCAACATAATTAACTTAGGTTAATAAGTTACAATGAACTAAAAACATATGCTGTCATGACTAATTGTTCATATAATAATTTTACAGTGTCTCATTGTTTAGAACAAAAAGAGAATTCAACAAGACAAATACGCTTTGTACCAGGTTATATAAAATTGTTCTCATGGAGATAGAAAATATTGTTTAAGGCAAACAATTTATTTTTCATTGGCTCAAGTGATCTAATTTAGATGTGAAACCATTACCCTAATTTTTAACTGGATCAATGAGCATATATGGAAATTTTAATTAAAACTACACTGTAAAAATAATCCTGGTTGCCTTACATTTTTAAGATTAACCTAACGAGTCCATTGAACTCGTGTTATGTTAAACTGACTTAAAACTGCTTGCATAACTTTTAACATGATTAACTTAGGTTAATAAGTTACAATGAACTAAAAACGTGACTAATTGTTTATATTATTTTGTGTATATCTTCTATTTGTTTAGAACAAAGAGATAAATTAATTTGCTTTCTACAACAAGACAAATATGTTTCGTACCAGATTATATAAAATTGT